GGTGCAGGCTCGGTGGGGGTGAATTTCAGTGGTGAGGGCTCTCTGCCAGATGTGGAAGATTGACTCTGAAAAATGAGGTGGGGAATCTCCAAGACTATATTCTGTTAAACAGACGCCTTTAATAAACACACTCCAACTTCAGGATTTTGGCTCCTTTGTGGCAAAGAACTGATTCTTTGTCTTGCTAAAATAAAAGCTGCTTTGTTCTATCACTAGAGCTCTTTGATGTTTCAATGATCAGTGCTGGATAATAACGTCACATGGTGTCCTCAGCCTAACCTAGGAGATCCCATTCTCACATCAACCAGAGTGGAACTCCGTAGCTTTGCTTATTAAACCACCAATCCAGAAGCAGAACTGTCTCTGCGATGGCCTACAATGGAACTAGAGAGCCCCTTAGGGACGAGAGCAGCCAGGGGCAAGTAATGACCTTCGATTTCAGAAAAATGGAATCAGAGTTGCTCATGGAGTCTTAGATCCGCAGTGGGTTCGGCTCCATATCACAAAAGCAGGTATGGGTGGGTGAGTATTATTAAAATTAGTGCTGTAAATGAGCATAAGACACACGCCCTGCCCCGAAGAGCTTACACTGTAACTGGACAGTGAGAGCAGTTACATGACTAAGAGGGTAAATGAATTGCAGCACATGCATGGGAACAGCTTGAGTTATCATTTGGAGGCTGTTGCCGTTGGACAGGTCTCCACTCACCCAAGCAAAGCCAAATTAATTGCTGTTCTGTGCATTCTCCTTCCCTTTGGAGGAGGCCACTGAACCAGGTGAATAACTCTATGTGTGAACTGACTGAACTCACAACTGTGAATCACTGGGAATCTTTCACACACACCCACTGCAGTGACAGGAATTCTTCAGTGCATGTTGCAACTGGAAATGGACAAGCAAGAGTCAGTCAATCACCCCTCGCTGCCAGAGAGCAAAGGCACAAGAAAAGAGCGTTCAGGTTGGTGCTTTATGGCAGGTTGCTCATTGGTGGAGATATGGCTCAAGGAATTTGATGGGGAGAGAGCCCACATGATGCTCTGCTTTGATGTTCTGCAAACAGAAGAACATGGGTGCTGGAAGCTGGAAGGAAGGGGTCTCTACCTGCCCCATAATATTTAATTAAACGAGAAAAAAGAAGCATGCTGAGAGCCTACTGGCTGAAGTGGCATTAAAGAACCTCTTAAACTTCAGACTGAGGCCAGAATGTGTATTCTGGGTCCTACAGGATAACAACAGAGCCAGGACTGGCCTTACAATTTGCAAGACCCCAACCTGTTTGGGGCGGGAAAAAGAATCAGGCCTAAAATTGCTTTCCTTCCTGGTCCCAGAGGCAGAATTGGACTTCTGCTTTGGTGCCACAGCCTCCTTCGCCACTTCTACTGCTAAAGGGGATCAGGCCATGACTTGCCCTCTCCTCTACTCCAATCTTCTTGGCAGGGGATGGGTTGGACTATGAGGGTATAGGGGAATGAAAATGTGCAGGCCCCAAGCAGTCGTGTGTCATGCTTTTGCTTAAGGCCAGACTTGGAAGGAGTTTTTCTTCTGTCAATTTTAAATGGGGCTCTCAGAAGAAGGGGGGCTTCCTTCCTGCCAGTGCTCCAGCCCAGCTGGCATGGGGACTGTACACAGGTCTACTCAGAAATGTGCCTCTGTTGTATACAGGTCATTTTAGTGTTTCCTTTCATGCAAACACACTTCGGGAACATTCTTTCCAGGTGTTGAGTAGAGGGCTGGTAGGAGCAGCCTTGGCAGACAGTAAATAGTGAGGGAACTGGACAGAAACAAAAACAACATGCTGGACTCACACCTTGGTATGTTATTGCCTAGCAACACCTGCATTTCTGCAAGGACGCCTGGCTCAGAGGGTGAAGGAGCAAAGCTCTTGCATTCCCACTCCTGCCAATACCTGAGCCCTTTCTCCATGTTACTGTCTCTTTGCTCAGGATTCTGCCCTTTAGCTCTAGACACCAATTGGTGTCTTTTCCATTGTTTGGTTTCTCCTGGCTGTATGTATCACTCACCAGGAAACTGGCCTGAAGGGGAATCGCCAATTGTTTCTAATTAGCTTTTTCATTAGATTAAAAGCAGAGTTTACTGTTTGATCATAATTTCTACAACGCAATTATCCAGGTCCATTCAATCCCGTTTCTCACACTGAATTGTGGCATTAGTTGCAGAGTTCCAGAACTTCTAAGCAATGATTTAATTTTCCTTCCCAGGAGAGATGATTGTTGTTCTCGGTCATGTACTTTCTTGCTGTTCATCTGTACCTAACCTGAGGGAGGAAATAACATCTGCAATGTGCTTCTTGTTGGAACAGACTCAGATACCATCTCCTGCATTATTATTTGCTTTATCTCGAGTGAATTTATGGCTGGACAGAGGTGCAGGACCGACAGCCTCGGAGAGTGAACTCCTCGGTTCCTCTACAAAATAGTTACAGCAGAGAAGGCTGCCCTGGCACTGTCCTACTAATGGGAATCATCACTGGCCTGGGGACCTGCTAGGAGTGGAGGGGAAATCTCAGGCTTAAGGGCCTAGTCAGTCCTTTGCTGTCCTGCTGTGCCAGCAAGGTGACCGGCTTTGGGGGATGTGGAGACCTGTTCCTTAGGGACTCCACTGGAGGTCAGTAAGCAGCAGTTGAATGATAATGAATTTGGATCACTATCAGCAGAGGCTGGATTCAGCCGGGTGACAGAAAGAGGAAATGTTCCATCGCCCATTCCAGACCATCGGCTGGTCTCCTTGGCTGAGATACAGTCACGCGTTAAATGAAGAGAAATGCCACGGCAGCTCATGTACAAAGAAGGGACCCAAATCAGAGATTTTGTCAGTGAAGGGACATAGCAAAGTTTGGCTGGTCTTATGGCAATTTCAGCCAAATCCGGAGAGTGCTTCCATGCAGGGGCTATGGAAGGGCAAGGCTGGCACTTTTAGCATATTGACTACCTCATAAGCAGCCTCCACTGCCAATTTCAGACCGATTAGGAATCTGAGTTAAGTGGTAGCACTGGCTTTTGGAATGGGGAGCATGCCATCACGGCAACATCCCTAACACACAACAACAGGGAGTAGACACCCACACCAAAGGGGACAAGACAGGAGGAGGAACAAATGTTTGTTAGAACTCACCAGACAAAGGGAGAATGAAACAAGTGAATTTGGAGATTAGAGAAAACACCACCTGCCCAGACAGAAATGAAAATCTATTGCACATCAATGCTGAGGCAGTGCAGCCTAGCAGACCGAGCACTGGACTAGGACTCAGCCAAGGACAACCAAGACCCCACTTTAATGAAAGATGTCCGAATGGAAGAGACACACCACAAACTGCTTCCTGAATCCCAAAAAGATCCCCATAAGTCACTGTCTTTTGCTACCCCACAAGCAGAGACGACCCATGCCCGCCGAGAGTAGGGGAGCAAAGTGAGGGCGGCCGGCTTCAGCAATGTTACTGAGCACGCTCAGTCTGTGTGCGCATGCTCAGTACAAGCCAAGCAGCAAATCGGGCGGGGAATGTGACCCTGCAAGCCCTCCCCACACATAGCTCTGCCCATAAGCATCTCCCAGAGAAAGAAGCATCATTTCACATTATCTGCCAGTGCTACCTCTGGAACCGTCAGGCCAGTGGGCTGGGCTTGCAATTTGCCTCTGCACACGGCAAGTGATAGCTGGCTCCTGGCAATGTAAAACCAGAGCAGAGAATAGGGTGACCAGATGTCCCAAATTTATAGGGACAGTCCCGATATTTGGGGCTTTTTCTTCTATAGGCGCCTATTACCCCCCACCCCCTGTCCCGATTTTTCACACTTGCTGTCTGGTCACCCTAGCAGAGAATGAAACTGTGCCGCTAATCCCGGCCTGGTTTTCCGGCTGCTTCCTCACCCCAATAGCTGCCCAACCCCGTTATTATACTGACTATTCTCAATCCCTTCATAACATATTACAGGAGCGGCTCCTCTCTTTTCAGATGGCTTTGTTGCTTCATCAGCCTTTGGGTTTTCAGTCCTGCCCTGCTCTGTCAAAACTGTCTGCTTCCCACTTCCTGGTTAGCGTCCAGTGCTCAGTACAAACGCAAACACTGCCCTTAACCCATCACACACTCTGAAATACCCTCCAGTTCCCCTGCTAAATTGGCCTGGACAATATTCTCTTCTGATTGCAAATGAGCTGAAATACAAATTCATACAGAAATACAAAGAAAAACTGGTCACACACCTCCCAAAGGAACAGCATGCAATGTGGCCGGGGAGCTAAAATCTAATGTTATATCAATTTGTATACAGTACATTCTCTGACAGGGGACTAGATTCTGCCTTAGCAGGGCAATGGACTGACGTTCTTAGATGTTTTTCCAATCCCTCTATGATCCTAGCCAACATCAATACATAGATAGAAATGACCAGTGGGAAGAGTCTGTGGAGCAACAGTGTTTTTGCCCTGCAGGGCTCAGAGAAGTGTTCACTGCTGCTGCCTGTTCCACTGATAAAGGGCCTGGTTGGAAGCACTCCAATGACTTCAGTGGGCTTGGGATTCAGTCTAAAGGATTTGTCCCCACAAGCCTCTCGCATCAGCACCTTTCGCAAACAGCTCTGTAAATATTTTCATTTCATTTAAGATGGATTCGCAAACTGCTGGGTGGAGTCCGAATGTCTCTGTGTCTCCTGCGTAACAGTGTAAGGTATGTTAAAATGTGGCCTTGAGCAATGAGCCTGCTATTCTGAATCACACCTCACCCCTCCTTTGGGAACAAAAACGAAACACAGAAACACTCTTGGTGAAGTAAAGTGTTTCTAGTGGAATGTGACAAAAGCATGAACACATCAAGGAGAAAAATGATGACTCTGGAAGTTGGCTCAGACTTGAAGGGTGATGAAAACCCTGGGGAATGTAAGAGAGAAAAAAGGACCTTGCAGTGGCAACGCCCCCTGTTGTGGGTATAAAAGGAGCTCAGAGTCAGGGAAGTTAGCAGCACTCTCCTTCTTTCATAGCTGAGCTGGGTGACTCTCTTGGGCTTTAGATCCTCAACTACCTTTCACCATGACCACCAGCGTCAGGCAATATTCCTCGTCTACATCCCTAAAGGGGTTAGGTGGATTAGGTGGATTAGGAGGTGGCTCCACACGGGTTTCCTCAGTGCATCTTGGAGGTCCCTACAGAGCCCCAAGTATCCATGGGGGATCTGGTGGCTTTTCTGTCTCCTCTTCTAAGTATGTCTCTGGAGTAGGAAGTAGTCTGGGTGGTGGCTATGGGGGAAGCTACAGTAGTAGCTTTGGAGGTGGCTATGGGGGTGGCCTTGGAGGTGGCTATGGGGGTGGCCTTGGTTGTGGCCTTGGAGGTGGCTTTGGAGGTGGCTATGGGGGTGGCTTTGGAGGTGGCTTTGGCGGTGGTGATGGCATTCTCCCTGCGGGTGAGAAGGAAACTATGCAGAACCTGAACGACCGCCTGGCTAACTACCTGGACAAGGTGCGTGCTCTGGAGGAGGCCAATTCCGATCTGGAGATTAAGATCAAGGAGTGGTATAAGAAGCAGGGACCCGGGCCTGACCGTGACTACAGCCCATATTACAGGACAATTGAAGACCTGAGGAGCAAGGTATGACACTATTGTTAAAAAGGTCTGATGTCTCTTGTCTGAGACCCTTCATTAAACTGGCACAGGGGCACTGAATAATTCTGTAACTAAAAGCTGGAAATGAAAGGCAATCCAATTTTCCCCTGTGCCAGATATCAGGGAAGGGGATTTAGTAATTTATCAACTTCAGTTATTTAATTACATTCCTCCAGAAAGAACAAGAGGTGTATTTCTTATTATTTGATTGTATGAAACAGACATAAGAGGCAGTAAAGCAGCAGCAGCATCTTATCGACCTTGGCCTATGTTGATAATATGGTACAGTTTGAATACTCTATAAACAAACTAATCTAGAGGTAAGGCAAACCAGGATATACTTAGTATGATTGTATATGCACAGAATCAAAGAATTTGCAAACTCCTGTCAATTGCTTTAGCTATTAGTACTAAACTGAGTGCAGAGGGTTAAAAAGGAAAAGGTGGAAGGACTGATAAATTCCACAGCCTTCTTCCAGGAATGATCAATACAAGGCCTGACTTGTCCTACAATCTCAAAACCAGAAGCCTGTGGAGCAATTTCTCTCCATTCTGATTTGGTTTCCTGGCTTCGCATCTTGAGAGGAAAGCCCCAGGGTTGATATTTTCCCTCTTACTGTCATTACTGATTGCTTACAAACCGTCATTAGTAAACATAAGGGAAATCCGAGGAAAGCAGAAGCAGAAAGACTCCGCGAGGCAGGGGCAGGAGCAAACTAGACACATTATTTTCCCTTCCTCTCACTGGCACCATTTTTGATGTTCCTTCCTCAAAGCCTGGCTTGGAGTTCTCCTCTCGGGAGCCTGGGGGTGGATTATCTGTATCTGAGAATGTATCACAAAAATCCGATATAAAGAGCACCTGCTCACTACACTTTGTTCAGCTTCTGCAAGGATCCTCGTCATAGAGTGAGTTAGTGTGAATGAGCTCCATTCCAGAACAAATGGACACAGGCTTTGCCATACAAGAGCACACTATGGGGCCACCCGCACTGCCTGTGGCAGTCACCAATACCTGATGGTTCCGAGGATGGCTAGTCTCCCCTCTCCCTCCAATATTCCTGCTATGACAATTGCACACAGCAGTACATGGTGGTGGGGATGGGGTGGGGAAAGAAGGTTGGTTCTTTCTGGAACCACGTGGGATCAGCAAATGCCCTGAAGCATGAGATTGAGTGCCCTTATCAGGCCTTGCACTTACTCAGATATTATCATGCTGCCTTTTGCAATTCATCCTGATGGATAAGCAGGAAAGGGAGGCCGCAGTGCAGTCAGACACTGCCCAGTCTAACTCAGCACTGTTGCATTTCTCCATTCGGTAAATCCCTCTGCTGTTCCTGGCCTGTCCCTAACATTCACCCCTGCTTGGATCCCACAATCAGCCAACAACATGAGGAGCTTTTGAGGCTTCTTTCCCACTTGCTCTTTCGCTCTCTTTCCCCCAGATCCTTGCTGCCACTGTCGACAATGCCAGCCTCCTCTTGCAGATCGACAACGCTAGGCTGACGGCCGATGACTTCAGAACCAAGTAAGTGCTGCTCCCCCTGGGAGTGAGATCCATATGGGAATCCTTTTGTGCACAACAAGCTTCCTCACATGCATCAAGACTGGAAAAGAGGGAGAGTTCCTCTCTAAGAGGGAGCTTCCTATTCATTTCCAATGAGACAACTGACAAATCACTGGCAAACAAGGCATTTCAAATAAATGTGCATTTTGCAAAGCAAATAGGGACTAAAAACTTGGGCAATGTCTTGCTTCCAGTAGAACCTATCTTATTTTATTTAGTTTGCATGTAGGACTTGATCTAATTTACATATCACTCAGAGCACATAGGCCTGGGGCAATGGTGCTACCAGTATTTTAATGGGAGGCGAGTTACACATCTAAACAGAATCACTCACCTCGGAGCTCAATATAGAATATGCCCCAAAGCTGCCCAGTAAAGTTACTGGTCTTAGCAGAGACTTGACCAACCAGCGCTGTTCCATCCATTGGACACTGCATCTCACTCCCTGTGTCCCTCATTCACCCAACCCCCCACGCAGCACAGAGAGTTATAAGACATTGAAAGGTTGACAGCAGCATGGGGAGAAAAAAGGGGTGACAACTCAGTAGTGAGCACCCTTTTTATGCTTGAAGGTTTGAGACAGAGCAGGCCCTGCGCATGAGTGTTGAGGCTGACATCAATGGCCTGCGGAGAGTCCTGGACGAGCTGACCCTGGCCAGAGCTGACCTGGAGATGCAGATCGAAAACCTGAAGGAGGAGCTGGCTTATCTCAAGAAGAATCATGAGGAGGTGAGGACAAAATCAAGCACAAAGGAGGGGATTTATAAGTTGTAGCTAAGGTACAATGAAAATCAGGCCAATCAGCAGAGCTATTTCCAAGCATTAGGGTAGTTGGGAGGGCATCTGGGAATAAAGAAGTGGGGAATAATTAATTCTGGACAGCAACGTCCTCTGTAGGCCCCAGGTCAGACTCATGCACCACTCATCATTTCAGGAGCTTCCACTGGGGTCTTGCCAGTATCTACAGCAACAGAAACTTGCTTCCCAGGCTGTGGATCCACCTGTTGTTTGGGATTTAGTCTCTGGACAGAGGCAACTGAATCCCCAAATGGAGATTTCTTAGGAAATTATTTTTATTATTTTACTTGTTGTTGACAGTTAGGGTCACAGTCCCATGGTGCTGAACAAACACACATTAGGAGATAGTCTCTTGTCTGAAAAGTCGCAAATTGGGAAAACCTCCTCAGATGCACTGCAGTGGGTCTGTATAGTTAACATGCAGATGAACATAGCGTGTCTCTCTTGTCACAGGAAATGAATATACTACGGAGCCAGCTGGGTGGAGATATCACTGTGGAGATGGACGCCGCTCCTGGGGTTGACCTGACCAAGATCCTGGCTGACATGAGAGAGCAGTATGAGAGCTTGGCAGACAAGAACCGTAAAGAGGCCGAGCAGTGGTTCTTCACCCAGGTACACAATGCCTGAATGAAGAGAAGCACTTTCCTGACACTTATGGGTGGGGGCAAAGCTTTACACACATCATTCGTGCAGTAACTAGATTGTTTTCCCTTGTTGCAGACAGAACAGCTGAACCGAGAAGTAGCCATGAACACGGAACAGTTGCAGAGCGGCAAGTCGGAGATCACGGAACTAAGACGCACCGTCCAGGGCCTGGAGATAGAGCTGCAGTCCCAGCTCAGCATGGTACGTGCCACTGGCTTCCCAAGGAGACACACACATGAGGAGGCACAGAGATGAGTGACCCCCTCACTGAATTCTTTCCCCTCTACTCTGCATTCCCAGAAAGCCGCTCTGGAAGGCTCCTTGGCGGAGACAGAAGCCCGCTATGGCTCCCAGTTGGCACAGCTCCAGGGCCTGATCACTAGCGTGGAGGAGCAGCTGGCTGAGCTCCGATGCGACATGGAGCGCCAGAACCATGAGTACAAGATTCTCGTGGACGTCAAGACACGCCTGGAGCAAGAGATTGCCACGTACCGCCGCCTGCTGGAGGGCGAGGATAGCCAGTACGTAAAGGGAGTCGATTAGATAGAGTGCCGTGGGGCAGGGCCGGCTAATAATGACACAGCTAAACAGCTGAATAACCTGTGTCTCTAAAGGCTCATTTTGAAATAAATAATCCAGATTCCTAGGTAGTTGTGAAGAAGACTAATAAGTGATGGCTCAATGGTTTATCCCATTACCATCATCAGTGAGAACCCGGTCCTGGGAGGTATTTATTGTCTGAATTATGGAGTGTAACATAACATTTCCATCTTGGAGAGGCAGCATTATCTAGTAGCTATGTGAAAACTCTAGCTTTCAGGGCTTTGTGGGGGGTCTATTCCTGGCTTCTTCAGCGATTGCATAACCCTGGGAAAGTAGCTAATAACACTAACGAACCTCACAGGAGGGTTGAGAGGCTAATATAATGTGTCTAAATCCCTTCACTCCTTGAAAATCCTTCCAAGATCAAATGTTCTGCTCAAATCTTAACTCTAGACAATTTCAAGGAGAGGACATTGGGGACCTGCAAATTGACATAATAATGAAATTCATCAGACTTGTGTCAAAATAATTATTTCTCCCCATAAGAGGCCTGCACCTTTGTTCTCTCACTGCGCCCTCTCCTCTGGTGTCTATATTTCTAATTTTCTCTCTTTTTTCTCCTCTTGTAGCATTGCCTCCCAGTACGCTTCAGCAAAAGAAGGTAAGAATTTGTCTTATCTGAAGTAATGAGCACACATTTCTGCATCACATCCTTAGCAAGCTTCTTTCCATAGGCTCTCATTCATTAGTGGGTGCAAAACTGGAATGATTCCTTTGAAATATTGAAGATATTATTAAGTCACGTATTTGTGTAAAATGGAATATAGGATATGCATTTATGACACTCAGTTCTGAAGATACACTAGCTAGGATAAAAATTCCAAAGGATGATCAGATCCTTAGGACAGATGATAGTTTCTTCTATCTCCTTCTCCCTTGTAGTGTCCACGACCACCCGACAAGTCCGTACAATCGTTGAGGAAGTCCAAGATGGAAAGGTGATTTCTTCCCGCGAGCAGGTCCATCATTCCCCCCGCTAAGACTACACACCACTCCACAGGCCCCAGTCCTGAGCACCTTGGATGCATCAATAGAAAAGGAAAGAAGACTCCAGTCCATGTGCTGTTGATGTGTAATACTGTCACCAAGGCTGTGTAGGTCTGGGCTCCATTAGTGTGTTCCTTCCCTTTTCATTCTGCCTCTGTCTCCCTCACCCTTGTCTGAGTGCTATCCTGTGCTCTTCCCATAAATGTCAAATAAAGCTTATCTTCTCATTCATGCAAACTAGAGTCTTGTCTCGGTTGTTCTATGGGGCTGACGACACAGGCTCTCTAGGGGGAGATTGGTGCTGTTTGCTAGAGCTTCCATCAGCACTCGTGGGCAGCTAGAAGAAGGAATTGTTCAGATGGTCTCTAAAAGGCATTGTATGCTAGATCACTGAGTGATCTGAATTAATACACCAGAACTAAATATTAAGGCAAAGAACTAGTGGCTTTATAGATCACATCCAACCTGGCTAAAATTCTGCAACTAAACTGTATAATCAGTGTCAGATATTCTGCCCTAAGTTGCAATGGTCTCAAAATGGGAAACCTGAGAGAGACTTGGTTGTTTCACAGTCCTGCTCAGGGACACAAATGGCTATTCCACAGAGGAGGGTAAGAGATGGGGCTTCATCAGCTCATTGAGCCTGAGCCAAGGTGCATGGTGCACAGTGAAAGAAAATGAATCACAGACACCATCATACCAGCCCCCTGCCAACTGTCAGCCACACTCCTCTATCAGCGCTGGCTGTGTTACATAGGTCACAACGCTTGGTGGTAAAATTAACTTGTGCGGCAGATGTGTTAACGGTACTTTTGGCTGACCCTTTCATCGGTAATACAACTGCAGTTTTATTCAGTGTGACTTTCTTGGCAACTGTCCCGGTCTTTCTAAAGGGTCAGAAAAAGGCAGAGCCCTCAGATAGCTGTCAGGGGGTGCGTGACCTGCTCAGGATAAGGTTATTACATGCTGTGTTTGGGGTTTGATCCCCTGTGCCAATTTGTCATTACTGCCCATTCCTGATGCAGTGGGACACTGATACCCTCCATCTTGACTGGCAGTTCCCGGAAGACAATTTCAGCTATCAGGGTACGTCTGCACTGCAATCAGGGGTGTAACTGCGGCACATGTAGACATACCTGAGCTCTTTAACTGAGCTAGCTCATGCCCTCATAGCCGTGAAGCCACAGCAGCACGGACTGCTCCGTGAGCAGCCACCCAAGTAATTACCCAGGGCCTCAGGCAGGCTGGTCCAAGCTGCCAACGGTACATCACTGCCATTGGTACGTCACTGCTGGAGCTAGCGAGGTTAAAGCTAGCTCAGGTGTGTCTACATGTGCTGCAATGACACAACCTGATTGCAGTGTATGTCTTCCCTCAGTCATGGCTAGGTTCTGCCACCCGTCCTCCCTTTAAGTAGTACCTGGCTCCATATGTAGTGCTGTTGGACATCAACAGGATGATTCTGAATAAGATATTACTGAACATGTGTGAAGCTGGCAGAATCTGGTCCTCCTATTTTAAGCCCCTGTTTTTAGGGACCTTGCCCTGGTTTTACCTGGCTAAGCCCTGGTATAGCTAGAGAGAGCTCTGGTTCTCCCTGAAAAGGGGGAAAGGAGCCTTTCTGTTCTCTCTCTGGTTCAGAATCCCAGAACTTACATGACCCCATCATCATTCCACTCAGACTCTATTCAGGTACATTATAATCATGAGCCATGAATGTAGGGTTATGATCAGCAAAATTACTCTGTAAGATTAGCATCCTCTTACTGAACGCAGTTGTGCATTTATATAGCATCATTGATGTGCCTGGCATTTTACAGGAGGAAAATCAATGGACACGATTCCTCTTCTAAAAGATGTGTCTTTGGAGTCCTGTCTGCTCAGTTCTTCAACTGAAGGCAGGAAACTTGCCTTTGTATTTTTCTCTTGTAAATGCCAGGTACACCTACTATGCTATAAGACTTTTGTTGAAAGAACAAATCAAACAATTAAAGAACTAGAACAGGGGTGGGCAAACTTTTTGGCCCGAGGGCTACATCGGGGTTGCACAACTGTATAGAGGGCCAGGTAGGGAAGGCTGTGCCTTCCCAGACAGCCTGGCCCCCACCCCCTATCTGCCCCCTCCCACTTCCCGCCCCTGACTGCCCCCCTCAGAATCCCCAACCCATCCAACCCCCCCTGCTCCTTGTCCCCTGACCGCCCCCTCCCGGGACCCCTGCCCCCTATCCATCCCCCCTGCTCCCTGTCCCCTGACTGCCCTCCCAACCCCTATCCACATCCCCGCCCCCTGACAGGCCCCCCAGGACTCCCACCCCCTAGCCTACTGCCCTCTGCTCCTCGTCCCCTGACCACCCCCTCCTGGGACCCCCCGCCCCTAACTACCCCCCCGGGATCCCACCCCCTTATCCACCCCCCCGCTCCCTGTCCCCTGACTGCCCTCCCAACCCCTATCCACATACCCGCCCCCTGACAGGCCCCCCAGGACTCCCACTCCCAACCCTCCCTGTTCCCTATCCCCGACCGCCCCGCCCAGAATCTCTGCCCCATCCAACCGCCCCCTCCTCCCTGACTGCCCCCCAGGACCGCCCACTCCCTTACCCAACCCCCCCCCCCTCCCCGTCCCCTTACCAGCAGCAGGAGCTCACGGCCATGACACCCGGCCAGAGCCAGCTGTGCTCCCCATGCTGCCCAGCGGCCCGGCTGTGGGGGACGGGGGACAGCGGGGGAGGGGCCGGGGACTAGGCTCCCCGGCCGGGAGCTCAGGGACCAGACAGAACGGTCCTGTGGGCCGGGTGTGGTCCGCGGGCTGTAGTTTGCCCACCTCTGAACTAGAAGAAAGAATTAAAATGATTTCAAACGTAACTAGAGAAGTTCAGGTTCAGATTCTCTGGTGTGTCTACTGGGCCATGAGTGAGATGGTTATGGGTTCCTCTTCCTCAGGTTGCTTGTACACTGGCCACAGCTGCAGCACAGGTAATAGTATTCCAAAAGGAAATGTGTGAGCTGGGGATATCCAGATGGGGGAACCATGGTCCCTGCCTGCCCCTACACCTGTGCTGCAGGGGAACTGGCAAAGCATCCAGCCACAATGGCTCTGTTCTAGCAGCAGACTCGCCTACCCCAGGAGCATCCGTGCATGAAAGAGAGAGGTTATAATAACACACATTGGTTTAATAACACACAATGGTTTAATAACACAATTAACCGTTTCCTCAACTAGGTTTCTGATATTCTTTGGATGTGTGTTCCTTAGCTAAAGTACAGACTGGAGAATTACTATAAATTTCAGTGACAAGGTTAGAAGGATTGGCTCGTATGTGATCCTTGCACTCTGCAGCTGCCAAGCAAATCAGGCCTTATGGTCATTTAGGTCTTATGCCATTCTGGATGGTTTACCTTGCACATTTTCTGTGTTGTCACTACATTCAGCTGGGATGATGCAGGAAGTTTCTGGTTCTTTTTTTCTTTTCATGGTTCTGGCATCAAGTGGGGGAGAAAATCTGGACCTCAAAATTACAGGCCTTGCCTCACATCTTGTGTTGTCATTTATACCTGGGCAAAGTGAGTGTAAACTGCCACCGCGATGCAAGGGTAGGATCTGACACCCACTTTGCGCCCATGTTGTACCTGTGGATGTGACCATCCATAGATGTCATAGATTTTATGGCCAGAAGGGATTTCTTGAAACGTCAGGTTCACTTCCTCCTATCTCACCCGATGCTTGTACAAAGCTGCTTCAGTAAATTATAAACACAGGAAAGCTTTTGTGCCATCATTTTCTCTGATATATCTAGAATTAGCTGTAATGTAATAGTAGTAAATATCCCAAAGACACATCCCACCCCTATTCTCACTCATCCGTTCCATCCCCTTTCCTGTAAAATGCTCCAGCCCGAGTGGGACGGAGCTGAGCAATCAAAGCCTGCTCAGAAATATGCATCTGTTGCTTGTGGGACAGAGTCTCTTTCCCCTTTCGTGGAAGCTGATCTAAGGAACATAATTTCTAGCTTTGGGGAAGGGGATTGTTAGGGCCTGTCTAGGAAGACAGTAAAGTGGTTGACATGGTACAACATGTGAAGAAATATGCTTTCCTCCACACCCTGGAACATTATTAAATAGTGCCACTTAGATCTGTGCCCGCGGGTTTTCAGTCTGGTAGGGAGTTTAGTATTGAGAATTGAGATAGCAGAGCTTGACCTTATTCAACCCTATAATTTTCTGAGCCCCTTGGCTCTTCATAGGGCAGTTAGCATCTCTTGAGCAGTTTGGTTTACGTTGGGTATGTACATCACTCAAAGCGTGCTCTCAGGGCAGGGAGCCACAAGGAAAATCTCTGATAACATCTGATTAACTTGTTCATTAGATTAATTATATAGAACTGTGTTGTTCTGCTGAGCATTCGTCTTAATCCCCAATTCTTAAAGCCAATAACCAGTCCCCAGGCCATTCAGACTGTTTTCTTGGGTCTTTCTTTACACTGAACTGTCCTCTTTCTTAGAGAGCTCCATAATTTCTAAAGTTCTTCCATCTAATAGCCATGCCCTGGATTTTTAAAAATAACTTGGGGGATCGCAATCTAGTTCTTAATGGCAGATGTTGACATCACAAAATCAATGACCGCATCCAACACTAATTGGGCCTCTTAATGGCTACCTCAGCAGAGAGGTCAAGTATTGAATTGGCCAGGGGGCTGAAGTCCCCTCTTACCTCTATAGGAGATCTTCCAGGATGAGGTGAAGGTACATTGACGGGGAGCGTTATGGAGGAATCCTGCACGTTTGCTGACAATTTTGTCTGTTCTGTGGATACACAGAAGACTTGGGTTCAGAGCTGTCCGCCACACATCTATCACCAACACCATACTCACAAAATTAAAGACACACGTTAGAGCAGGGGTTCTCACAACATTTTTTTTGGTGGCCTCAGAGTGTGACCACCAACTCTTGCTGGTGGCCACTCACACAATTTTTCCTAAAATACTTAATGAACTTTAGGAAAAACAAATAAATATGCACATGTATATGTCCAAATCATAATAATTTATTTATGTAGGGTTTTCTTTTTTTGCAGACTCAATAATAAAAATAATGTACAGTTGTCTCTATTCTTTACTGGACCTAAATGGAACAGAAACACAAATAAGGTGCTTTGCATGTTCTTGTCTTCTGTTGTTGTTTCTTTTGCTTTTTTGGCTGCATTTTTTAGACTTGCTAGCCAGTAAGTCTGCTTCTATGAAAAGTGATCTTTGTATGTTTGTTAATATCACTTTTCATAGCAGCAGACTGTTAGCTAGCTGAGAGGCAGTGAGAGGTGATATTAACAAATATACAAATATCACTTTTCACAGCAGACCTACTCAGCCTTGGCAAGTCGGGGACCAAATTAAGACTTGGATGGGGAGGTGGGTAGGGAGGCAGTGGGGGCGATGTGTGGGGTGGTGAGACTGGGAATGGAGTCTTGCAGCCAAGGGATGGAGCTCACTCCTGAGTAGCCAAAGCCCGGGCCCAAAGCCTTGCGGTCAGAGCCCATGGCAGAAGCCTGCTGCCACGCGGCCGGAGCCTGTCACTTGTCACACCAGGGCTGAAGCCAGAAGCCTGAGCCCCACTGCCCCGGGAAGGTGGGGAACTCACACCAGCTGTCTGCTCCCCCGGTGTTTGTGGCTCCAAAGGGGGGCAAGGTCCAACCCCTCCTGGCAGCCCCAGAGGAGGGGCCGCTGCTTTGTCCCCCGTCCCCCAAATCACCACCCAGGAGGCTGTGGCCGCAAGAAAAGCCCCTGGTGGCCACGGTGGCCGCATTTGAGAAATGCTGCGTTTAAGGTTTTATTTAAGGTTCTTCCTTAAAACAGCAACTATCACAAGAGATTTACTAAGCACCCAGTAATTACTGGGAATGGTACTCTGTAAAACCCAAGAAAGAGAGATTTACTTCACAGAAATGCGCTGGAGGAGTCTGAATAGCTCTGTCTCTCATTCAACAGCTGTAAAAATGTAGCCTGGAGCAATGAGCCTCCCACTTTGAATCACACCTGACTGTACATTTAGAAACAAGAAGAAACACAGAAACACTCTTGGTGAAGTAAAGTGTTTCTAGTGGAATGTGACAAAAGCATAAACACATCAAGGAGAAAACTGATGATTCTGGAAGTTGGCTCAGACTTTAAGGGTGATGAAAACCCTGGAGAATGTAAGAGAGAAAAAAGGACCTTGCAGTGGCAACGCCCCGTTGTGGGTATAAAAGGAGCTCAGAGTCAGGGAAGTTAGCAGCACTCTCCTTCTTTCATAGCTGAGCTGGGTGACTCTCTTGGGCTTTAGATCCTCAACTACCTTTCACCATGACCACCAGTGTCAGGCAATATTCCTCGTCTACATCCCTAAAGGGGTTAGGTGGATTAGGTGGATTAGGAGGTGGCTCCACACGGGTTTCCTCAGTGCATCTTGGAGGTCCCTACAGAGCCCCAAGTATCCATGGGGGATCTGGTGGCTTTTCTGTCTCCTCTTCTAGGTATGTCTCTGGAGTAGGAAGTAGCCTGGGTGGTGGCTATGGGGGAAGCTACAATAGTAGCTTTGGAGGTGGCTATGGGGGTGGCCTTGGAGGTGGCTTTGGAGGTGGCTATGCGGGTGGCCTTGGTGGTGGCCTTGGAGGTGGCTTTGGAGGTGGCTATGGGGGTGGCTTTGGAGGTGGCTTTGGCGGTGGTGATGGCATTCTCCCTGCGGGTGAGAAGGAAACTATGCAGAACCTAAACGACCGCCTGGCTACCTACCTGGACAAGGTGCGTGCTCTGGAGGAGGCCAATTCCGATCTGGAGATTAAGATCAAGGAGTGGTATAAGAAGCAGGGACCCGGGCCTGACCGTGACTACAGCCCATATTACAGGACAATTGAAGACTTGAGGAGCAAGGTATGACACTATTGTTAAAAAAGTCTGATGTCTCTTGTCTGATTTTCTTTATTACAGCTTGCCTTGTGTCTAAAAACTGATTACCGAGGGATTAATTGATTACAGGCAACAGGTATAGAAAGGGCTTCATAGCAATCCTGTGCCCAGACACAAATGAAGGAGATTTAGCAATTTAGGGCTTGTCTACACTGGCACTTTATAGCGCTGCAACTTTCTCACTCAGGGGGGTGAAAAAACACCCCCCTGAGCACTGCAAGTTTCAGTGCTGTAAAGTGCCAGTGTAGACAGTGCACCAGCGCTGGGAGCTGTCCCCCTCGTGGAGGTGGTTTTTTATAGTGCTGGGAGAGCTCTTTCCCAGTGCTGGTGCTGCAGCAGTGCTTTCACGTTGCTAGTGAAGACATGCCCTTACACTCACCCGTGATTTAATGATATTCCTTCAGAAGGAGCAAAACTGCATTTCCTGTTAAATGATTTCTAATAGGGAAACAGACTTCGGGGCAGGAAAGGAGCAGCCGAAGCCTCCTGGTTCATGTTGATTAGCTGTTCTGTCTTGGGTGCTGCAGCAACATTAGAAAGAAGCGGGTTGCAGCAGCAGTACGGCTGGCAGGATTATACACAAATGGCTAAGTACCAGATATTACTTACGCTCCAAATATGTGCTTCTTCTGCCAGATGTTTAGCTCATCAGAAGGCTGTGAGCTCTCAGGGCAGGGACGTGTTATCTGTTTGGCACCATTCACTTTGTGAACACACGGATGCTAAGATAGTCATAATGGTTATAATAACCACTTCTAGCCTGTTACTAGGCTGAATGTAGAGGTTAAAAAAGAGACCAAATCAAATGATAACAAGGATGTGGGACCTTTGCAATTCCGGAATGGCTGACACAAGACCTAACATTTCCATATGCTCAAAACTAGGAGGATTCAGAACAATTTGGGCCTGATTCTCTTCTCTCTTACACCAGTGTAGGTCAGTTGTAACTTCACTCAAGTCACTGAGAGCGGAACCAGTCCTGTCGTCTTCATTCTAATTCATTTTTGTGTCTCAGCATTTGCACAGTAAGGTCTCATGAAAAGGCCCGAGGGATGGCCTCACTGCAGCACCAACGTTCACGCCACTCACTGGTTACTTGTGTCGTCTGCTTTCATTTTATTTTACGTTCCTTTCAGTAGGTTAGGTTGTGACATCCTTACTCAGTCCTTACCCAGACAAAACTCATTGAACGTAGAGTCATTGGGGGTCATGGGGAGTGTCTCCTGAGTAAGGATGCAGTCACAAATGCAACATTTATCTTGCTGTCACTATCTTCTCCTTACAAAGCATCAGCAGTGAATGTTAGCAAAATATCAGGTGTGCAGAAAGTGAGACTCTCAGTGAGGCAGGTGAATCAGACTTCGAGCTAATAAAACTCCCATATTTTCTTTTCTTCATTTTGGCTCCACTTTGCTAACTTTACTTAGAGTCCCAGGTTTGGTTTTCCTCTCCCTGGAGCTTCGTGATAGGTTCTAAAGGGAGCTCGGACACAGTGAGATTTTCTGCTCAGAGAATTCCACTCAGCTTCTGCCCCTTCCTTGTGCATGAGAGTGTGACTGACAGCAACAAAAGTCCTGGAGCAAGACGAGAATCAATGATTATTGTTACTTATTATTTGTATTACTATTGTGCCTAGGAGCCTTGGCCACAGAGAGTCAAACCCACGCCCAGCCTGAAAACTGCTTCACGGAGGTTTTTGAAGTGAATCAGAACTGAAAACCTCTCAGTTGCATTGAACCTGAACTGACCCCCAAACCAGTGACTGGTTTAAAACAACAGGTTCAGTGATGAGGTGCTGAGAGATGGTCTTTGGGAGTGCTGAGGAAGGGTCTCTCTCTGCTCCCACCCTAGAGAGAGAGAGGCAGGGACCACACTTCCCAGGAAGCCATTGGAGGAGATGACACTAGAGGGAGGCAGGAGAAAAGCATTCTGGGACTGGTAGTTCTCCTGTCTGGTATGCCCAAGGAGAGGACTGTCCATGGAAGGCAACTACGACTCCCAGAACACCTCCCTCCCCTCTCTGTCCCCTCCAGTTTCTTGCTGAGCGCATGTTCCTTCCTGCTACAGAAGTCAGCGTAGAAAGGGCATTTTCTGGGCTGAATTTCATTTTGTCACCTCAGTGATCAAATATGACGGACAGAGTTCTGGAGGATGTTGTACTACGGTGTGCAAATTATTTGTTTAAAAATATTTTTTTACAGTGAAAGAAATATGTATCATTGTACTCTTTTGCTAGGAGTTACAGTGCAAGCATAAGAGTGTGAGACATTAATCTGCTGGCAATGTATTTGAACTGGTTCATACTGTTTAAGTGGTTGAATTGGTCATTGATCCATCACTTGAAGTTAGTGTCAGAACCGAACAATTAGGAAGTACTGATGAACCTGAACTGGAACTGCACCCAAATTGTAATGGTTCGACTCCCTGCTCAGCCATTGACCAGCACCCAATTGTACATAGGCGCTGTACAAACACAGAACGTAAAGAGAGTTCCTGCCCCAGAGAGATACAATCTAAGTATAAGACAAGAGATAACAGGTGGATACAGACAGACCAATGGGGGATTACAAGGAAACAATGAGACAATATTGGTCAGCATGACGTGCAGTGGCCTCACTGCACACCAACAGCCTAACCATTTTATACAGGCTTTATCATATTAGATCTGACCGGTGGTCAGTCGAGTCTCTTATGCTGCTTCCTGTATGACCAATATGTGATGATTCAGAGGAAGGCAAGCCTGCCCCCTCCGTAATACACACAACGCTGTAGGTGAGGAGGAAAATCTTTCCTGACCTCTGTAAGTTACTGTCATATGTCCTGAAGCATGAGATCTGAACACCCTTACCTTAGCATGTAGCTGCAAACATGATTACTCTTTAAATTATCCAGCTCTTTTAAAAATCCAGCTAAAATATTTGAAGTTGAAGGAGGAATTATATGGGATGAGATATGGTTTGCTCACTACCTTTCTTCCAAATGAGCACAGTTCCCAAAATGAATACCCAGAGTGTTATAGGCACGCAGATGATACAGAGATATGTACAAAATAAGTATCTCGAGAGACAGATATAGGGTGCCTGATTCTCATTTTATACCATGCTGGCCACGTAAATTATATTTGCACACACTCTGGGGCCTGTTTACATGACTAGAGCAGTGCAAAGGGCCCTAAGTGCAAATGAGAATTTGGTCCATACCAGCTTGTCTCATATCTCCACGGTACAGTTATGCAAATTCTACCATATAGGAGCAGAAGGCCAGTGCTGCTCCTGGCCCTTCTCCTAAGCATTAATTTCTGTTTGCATCCCTCCATTAATCAGCAATATGCAATTTTTGAAACTTCTTTTTCACTCCCTCTTATCCCCTCTTTTCTCTTCCCCAGATCCTTGCTGCCACTATCGACAATGCCAACATTGTCTTACAGATTGACAATGCCAGGCTGGCAGCTGATGACTTCAGAACCAAGTAAGTCCAGGGCTCCTTGGAGCTCTGATGAGAAGGGAAATGCGTAAAAAAGCCATCCTGCTTGAGGATCTCTGTTGTTTATTGCATTTGAAGATGCTTCCCATGTTCCTATGTTAGGTGGTGACTGGAAAAGGGAATGGGGGAGCCTGTGTCAAGTGAGACCTTCCTTTTAGCTTCCATGAATTCGGAAGAAACTTTTGAAACACTGAAGGAAACTCTGGTAGCAAAAATGCCATGCAAAAATACATGAAACTTGGGGAGGAAAAGGGAGTGAAAAATCGGTATCAGCTGGACGTGCCTGAGTTTTTGACCTTTTTTACACTTCAAGGTTTGAGACGGAGCTGACCCTGCGCCTGAGTGTGGAGGCGGACATCAACGGCCTGCGGAGAGTCCTGGATGAGCTGACGCTGGCCAGAGCTGACCTGGAGATGCAGATTGAAAACCTGAAGGAGGAGCTGGCTTATCTCAAGAAAAACCATGAGGAGGTGAGGACGAAACAAGGCACCAAAGAGGGACTTATAAATTGTAGCTAATGCACAATGGAATCTGCACAGGCCAATCAGTAGGAACAGTTCCGAGATTTGCAGTTGTTGGGAAGGGATATGAGCAGGTAAAGAATAATAGACTCTGAACATCTATTCTGTAGGTACCAGGTAAGTTATATCCACCGCTTACAATTCAGGTAGTTTCTACTGGAGCCAAGTCATTGGCTATAGGAACAGAACCTTACGTTGGCTGCTAGGTTGAGAAGCCACCTGATGCTTGGGATTTTATTAGCCAAACAGAAACAATTGAAACCCGCACAGGAGTTTTTTTAGGTCTCTATGCAGGATGCAAGTGGGAAAAACCTCCTCAGATGCACTGCAGTGGGTCTGTATAGTTAAGATGCAGATGAACATAGCATGTCTCTCTTGTCACAGGAAATGAATATACTACGGAGCCAGCTGGGTGGAGAGATCACTGTGGAGATGGACGCCGCTCCTGGGGTTGACCTGACCAAGATCCTGGCTGACATGAGAGAGCAGTATGAGAGCTTGGCAGACAAGAACCGTAAAGAGGCCGAGCAGTGGTTCTTCACCAAGGTACACAATGCCTGAATGAAGAGAAGCACTTTCCTGACACTTATGGGTGGGGGCAAAGCTTTACACACATCATTCGTGCAGTAACTAGATTGTTTTCCCTTGTTGCAGACAGAAGAGCTGAACCGAGAAGTAGCCATGAACACGGAACAGTTGCAGAGCGGCAAGTCGGAGATCACGGAACTAAGACGCACCGTCCAGGGCCTGGAGATAGAGCTGCAGTCCCAGCTCAGCATGGTACGTGCCACTGGCTTCCCAGGGAGACACACACATGGGGAGGCACAGAGATGAGTGACCCCCTCACTGAATTCTTTCCCCTCTACTCTGCATTCCCAGAAAGCCGCTCTGGAAGGCTCCTTGGCGGAGACAGAAGCCCGCTATGGCTCCCAGTTGGCACAGCTCCAGGGCCTGATCACTAGCGTGGAGGAGCAGCTGGCTGAGCTCCGATGCGACATGGAGCGCCAGAACCACGAGTACAAGATTCTCGTGGATGTCAAGACACGCCTGGAGCAAGAGATTGCCACGTACCGCCGCCTGCTGGAGGGCGAGGATAGCCAGTACGTAAAGGGAGTCGATTAGATAGAGTGCCATGGGGCGGGGCCGGCTAATAATGACACAGCTAAACAGCTGAATAACCTGTGTCCCTAGAGGCTCATTTTGAAATAAATAGTCAAGATTCATTGATATGAAGGCCAATAAGTGATGGCTCAATGGCTTATCCCCTGTTACTATCCTCAGTGAGAACCCTGTCCTGGGAGGTATTCATTCTCTGAACTCTGGAGTGCTCCCTTTGCAGTACTGTGGTTAGAGCACGGGGCTGGGAATTAGAAGAACTGGTTTCTTTTCTGGGCTCTAGTGCCAACTCATTGAGCAAGCTTAATAGTTAATTGATTTCTCTAGCCCTTAGCTTTCCCATCTGTAAAAGGGTATAAATAACATTATTATTGTGCCTCATAGGAGGGCTGACAGAGTTATTTGACAGATCTGTAAAGCGATGTGAGACGCTTTGAGCTTTTTGAAAGGGTTTTCTCCTAGTGTTATAATACTGGACAATTTCAGGGAGACTCAGGTTGTTGCAGAAAGTGAAAAGCAAGGTCAAGTCAGAACAAATATTGTCAGGTGTCGTTCTAAATAATTAATTCCCATTTTGGGGGGTCTGTGATTTTTTATCATCTGTGACCTTGCTGCCTCTCCTCCACCACTGAATACAGACTGTGGGATCCCGAAGACGTGTTCATGTTTCTAATTTGCCCTTATTATTTTTCCCCTTGTAGCATTGCTTCCCAGTACTCGGCAGCGCTGTCCTCGCAGTCTGGGAGAGATGGTAAGGATGTACCTTATCTGAAGTGTAACTCGGTCACATCTGTAACAAGTGGCTTTGCAGAGTACAAGATAATCAGTTAACAAATTGTGCAATCTGATTACTAACAAAGTATTGTCTGTGGAGAACGGGTGGAGGGGACAGGAATAGAAAATCCCCAAATGACCATTGCCCTTAGAAGCAGAAAAGACATGGGGTAAAGGGACCTTCTAACCGAGTTGTCAGGTAGAGCTGTATGAAACCCATTGCTTTGGGTTCATGGAGAAAAGGGAGGTTGGCACGGGAGCAGCAGATTATGTTTGCGTGAGTTCAATCTTGTCTTAAATTATTTTGAATTCTGTGTTTGGAGAAATCTGAAAAATCAAATAATACCTAAACCTTCAAATGGTCACCTAATTTTGTTTAGTTGGGATCAAGTGTGAAAATCCATCACTGGTATCTGGAGATGGAGGTACTGGCTCAAATATGAGTTCAAAATTATATGCAAATAGCTCAGTCTTCAGTTTAAAGGTCTACAAATCGTGGTGAACTTTTCTATGAATCCAGAAACAGCAGAACTACAATTCATTTGCAAATTCAACACCATTAATCTGGGCTTGAATAGGGACTGGGAGTGGCTGGCTCATTACAAAAGCAGTTTTTCCTCTCCTGGAATTGACACCTCCTCATCTGTTATTGGGAGTGGACTACATCCACCCTGATTGAATTGGCCCTGTCAACACTGGTTCTCCACTTGCGAAGTAACTCCCTGCTCTCCATGTGTCAGTATATAATGCCTGCATCTGTAACTTTCACTCTATGCATCCGAAAAAGTGAGGTTTTTACTCACGAAAGCTTATGCCCAAATAAATCTGTTAGTCTTTAAGGTGCCACCAGACTCCTTGATGTTTTTGTAGATACAGACTAACACGGCTACCTCCTGATCTATGAATCCAGGCTGAGATTTTGCTTTCTCTTGACTTGTTTAGGTGATTTATACAAGTTAACTGTTGGAATCACATTTTTTCTTTCTCCCCTCAGCCAATGAAGGATTGTTTGAAACAGTATATTCAAGATGCCTAGGGAATATACATAGTATCTTCTCTATGCTCCAAATAACTGTTTTTCTCTCTTCTTCTTTGAAGTAATCTCATCCACTCGTCAAGTCCGCACGATTGTTGAGGAGGTCCAAGATGGAAAGGTGGTCTCTTCCCGTGAGCAGATGCAACTTTCCACCCGCTAACAGTACAGAGCACTCTATGGATTCCAGTCCCAAGGCTTGAGCTGCTCAGAAACAATTCACTGAATGATCCAGTCGCTGTATCTGACTGGGCCATGGAGAATACTCAGCTCAGTTTGTGCATTCTTTCCCTTCTCAGTGTCTTGCATTCTCCTTCACCTGTCTTTGAGTGCCGCACTGAAGTCTGCAAATGTCTAATAAACCTTTTCTTCTCATTCATGCAAAATGGAATCTTGTCTCTGTCATTCTAAAGGCCTGAGGCAGGGGCCCTCTCAAACCCTTGGTGGGATGTACCAAGAGTCACCCATGGGCAGCCAGAAGATGGCGTTGTTCTGAGGTTGAACGAAGGAAGAGAGCAAGAGGGATAGGTTTCCCAAATGCAGCATAAAGAATCTTCGGGGATGTTTTGTCACTCAGCGGATTGCTAGGAAATACTTGGGAATGGCTGAGTGAAGAACTTTATAGGATTTATTGATGGTGGAGGTGACGGTTGGGGAATTGTGCTTGAGACTGAACAAAATGTAACAGTTTGCAGGAGTGCTCATTAAAGCTAACAATACTGGGCTCAATTCTGTAACCCTCAGTCACACTGGGAAGCACCTACAAAGTTGTATCATTGACTTCAGTAGGACTATTACTTTCATAAGTATTACTCAGAGCGAGTTAGGGTTGCAGCATTGAGCCTACTGCAATTTAACTGACCAATCTAGGCATTAAAATATCTGCAAAAAAGGACTCCGTTCATGAGAGATGGAGGTTTTATTTTTATGAACTGTTCAATTTGAGGAGCTCCCAGTTTCATGACTTGCATAGAGACATCATTTGGATATATTTATCAGAAAAGGAAGGAATCGCTCCAAATCCCTCTCTGTACAGAATTCCACTGTATTTCTAAGTCACGTTATAAAATTAGAGTAAATTAAATATAAAGCTACAAAGCACAAATGTCATTTCAGTTCCTGTTTTCTTACCTAACTTATATGGTAACCACTTTATTAGCCATATTATATATAAAATGTCCACAGAACATTTTGCAGGTGCCTTCACATTACCTTGTGATCACATTTAACAGACAGCAACAAAACCAATACAAGTTTTAGAAGACCTGACCTATGGGGAAAGGTTACAAACCTGGGCATGTTTAGTTTTAGGGAAAAAGTAAAAAAGTGACAGAAAAGGGGAACCCCTCAAAAACTATTCAAAACTTTGTCTTGAAACACTACACACTTTCAAAATGAAACAAAATATGTTGAAGTTTTTTTGTTGAAAAATAAGAGTGAAATGTTTTGACTGAAATGTAAACTGATCATTATCTTTACAAATTGTGAAAAAACAAGATTTTGACAAGAAATGCTTGTAATTTACCATTGCTACATCTCCACCAGTGACAGTAATAGCAGAGACTGTAGTGTAAACACAGGCATTTTTATCAGAGTGTCATCTAATTCTGCTCGGAGATGGGTTAGATAACCTGATGGTAAAAGTGTACAAGGCTTGTCTACACTACAGTCTCACTATTGATATCACTAATGGAGCTGCAATAATGGTGAGTTATGTGTCTTAAATTTGCCAGTGTAGCTGCAGCATATATTACATTTATTAATTATGGCCAAGGTATTGTTGGCACCACAAAGGGCTGAAAATAAATAATCAGGAGCACCTTCGAGCTCTTATATATTTGTGGTGACAAGATAAGCTTAGCCAAATAGGCCAAACAATACTTCGGAAAGCCAGGCTCTGCGGGACTGGACACACTCTCCTTGTGGATGACAAGAGGTTGCCAGAGAAAATGCTGAAGAGTGAACTTTTAATGGGTAAAATAGAGCAGACACAGGAAAAGATGGACGGCAACATATGGGGAGATACACGGGAAAACAAAGGAATGTGGGGAACTAAAGAACCATGCGACAGATCAGATTTCCAAGTAAGCTGTATTACATAAGCTAGATGGTATTTCTCTAATTGAGAAAGAAGGAGTTAGAGCCCAAATAACAAACACGACTGCATTTTTTCCCGCCCTCCCCTGTAATTGGACTCCTCTAGCTATCTCTTCCCTAAAGCAGTAGTTCTCAACCAGGAGTCCGGGGCCCACTGGGGGGCCACAAGCAGGTTTCAGGGGGTCCGCCAAGCAAGGCTGGCATTAGACTTGCTGGGGCCCAGGGCACAAAGCCGAAGCCTCACCATCTGGGGCTGAAGCCCAGGGCTCCAAGCCCTGCCACCCAGGGCTGAAGCCGAAGCCTGAACAACTTAGCTTCACAGGGCCCCCTATGGCATGCAGCCCCGGGCAATTGCCCTGCTTGCTACCCCCAATGCGTTTATATGCAGAAAAACAGTTGTTGTGGCACAGACGGGACATGGAATTTTTATAGCATGTTGGGGGGGGGTTAAAAAGAAAGAAAAAGGTGGAGAACCCCTGCCCTAAAGGAAAACCTGCTCAAAAGTTGTAGAATGGAAGATAACCATGTGCAAAACTAGTTATTCTAGGCAGTAGCTGACAGACTGGCCAACCTACAGCTTCCAGAAATGTCTATTCAGGAAAGGAAGGAGTGGGCTGGTGGCAGGGTACTTTCTTTGGCAGCTACCAGGCAAAGAAGAGTAGGGTGGAGAGGTATTTACAAAAATCTTCAGGGAGACAGGTGGGTCCAACTGCATTATTGAGAGATGCTGAATAATACAGCAAAAGATTCACACAATACATATTTTGATAAGTTCTCTTGTTCCTCAGAGCCGCATCGTGGTTCTGGTGTCAGAGATTCATGAGCAAGCTGGAATGATTGGATTCATTGGTGTGTCTTATGACAGATGGCTACATTGAGCTTTGTGAGACAGGACTGGGGACAACATGCCACAACTTTCAACTTCCCTGCAAAGTATAGACTCTTAGATACTGGAGATAGAAAAGACACGTATAGATGGCTTGGCTGGCATATCTGTCTAGATCTACAGACCTGTAACATTAGTCCAAGTCAATTCAGTGGAATGAGCAGGTTTGATTCATCAAGTTCCTTCAGTTCATTTATGTGGGAAAAGCTGGCACTAGAATTGAGCAGACTGGATTTAGTTTCTATAAAAGCCCAAAGGAAAATATATGACAACATGCACCATTGAAAAATGTAACATCCCCATGCCGGCTCCGCATCCCAGAGTGACTGGAACACCCAGGTCGATCTGGAGACATGGTTACATGTAGGAAAGTAATTCTCTTCCCTAGCACAACAGTCAGTGCTGCCCACTCCATCACCCCCAAAAGCACAGTGCTTGTAGAACTCATTGATACCCAGGGAATGCTGCTCTGCTTCCAGGGACAAATTCACAACTAGCGTAGGCAGGTGTGACTCTGTTGACTTCAGTGGAGATGTGACCAGCGCTAGAGACGTGTCAAAGATGAGTCTCACAAAGAAGCTGTTCACTGGCTCCCAGAGGTGGTTTTTACTACTTTTTGCTACAGAAGTGAACTCACCATGTGAGAACCACTAATATTTGCTGTGGGTTCTCTATGAAGGAAATGAATTGTCCGAGAAGCCAGTCAACTGGTGATATCAATGTGGAGGTGAGTTCCTGTCCCGGTCCAGTTCTGAGGAAAATCCTAGAGATGAGATGCCAATATGAAACTATGATGAAGCCCTGTAGCCAGAATCCAGCTCACTTTCTAGACCTTGGTCTCTCCCCTACTGACAGTACACTCGGTTCTTGTGTCCCCTCTCCTTTTACTTTCACCCTTCAGCCCCAAGTCACAGGGCATGACCGCATGGAGACTGTGATGGGATCCACGGGGTGCAGCCTGGAACTGTGAGACCACTGTGCCCCCTTAACTCTCCAGCCTGGGTTGTCTCTCACAATGCCTTGCTAGTGACCAGCAGCAAACCCCTCCAGGTGCTGTTAACCAGACAGGTTAAAGTGTTCTCCCACTGGTTTTTGACCTGTCTGGTCATTCAATGACAGACCTGCGGGTGGCTATCTTACAACAGAAAAACTTCAAAAACAGACTCCAACGAGAGACTGCTGAGCTGGAATTGATATGCAAACTAGATACGATCATCTCAGGATTGAATAAGGACTGGGAATGGCTGAGCCATTACAAACATTGAATCTATCTCCCCTTGTAAGTATTCTCACACTTCTTATCAAACTGTCTGTACTGAGCTATCTTGATTATCACTTCAAAAGTTTTTTTTCACTTACTTAATTGGCCTCTCAGAGTTGGTAAGACAACTCCCACCTGTTCATGCTCTCTGTATGTGTGTATATATATCTCCTCAATATGTTTCACTCTATATGCATCCGAAGAAGTGGGCTGTAGCCCACGAAAGCTTATGCTCTAATAAATTTGTTAGTCTCTAAGGTGCCACAAATACTCCTGTTCTTTTTGCGGACACAGACTAACACGGCTGCTACTCTGAAACCTTTCATTCTTCTGAGCATTCTTGTTGCTTGCAGCATAGGTGGGGGCAGGAGAAATGGCCAAGCCTGGGGCCCCTGTGTTCTGTTTTATACCCTCAGTCCATGTGCTTGGAGAACACAAGTCCAGGCATGTCTGGTGGGCACTGCTGAGTCCCCAGGTGAAGCAATACCCTGGTGTCTCTCCTGTGAGTGAGTCATTGAATTGTAACTCCTGTGCTGGACAATGGCTGGTGATGTCTGCTCAGCACCCACCCAGGTGTTGGCTACCCCCCTTGTCATTGTCTCTGGAGAGCTAGTATCTGGGCGCTTCCCAAACCCCCAGCATATTTTAGTGAAAACCATAAACACAATTCTTATAATTTCATATGCATTGATGGTATACATCTTTAGATAGAACAATGGCTTTCAGCAGATCATAACCTTTCCCCTGATACCTCACATGGCCTGCTTTATATGCAATATCACAATTTTATATATAACTGAGGAATATGGGGGTTACAAGGTGCGCCCCCGAGGGATAGAGTGTCACAGAGACCATTGTTCTCAACATTGACCACAGGTTAGCTCAGCGGCGCTAACTACTCTTTCAGCCACCTGCTCTGCAACTCAAGGAATTACTCAAAAAGGTAAATTATAACCAGCATCCTCAGGAGCTG